GCCTAATACACAATGCTGTGTGGCAAAGAATCACATAAAGTGAAGTGCACGGTGAGAGACAAATCAAGTTCAGACGGTCACCGACCCCACCTCTGAACGTATGTTCCCCGTGCTGCAACCCGTGTAGGGGAGACGCGACGACATAGAACAGGGGTGGCCCTGAAAAGGGCCGTTGGGTCGTTCACAACGGCAGAAAGTTGAGAAAGGGAGGACCTATACCACATACAGATGTGACGGCGACTTGTTATCCACAGCGCGCGGCAAACCGTGACAATTTAAATACAACGTGGGGAAGCCTACGGTAAGTTGTAATGGAATACCGCACTCACTTTGCAAGGTGACATGGTCACTCTTAGGTGTTCTGTCGTGCCATGGCGATACAGCGGACACCACACCTCCGGGTGTGAGAAGGAAGTTCTGCACTCATCACGCATGAACAGGGGCTTCACTGAAAAAATCCGCAGGATGGCTTTCCTTACCTGTGAACAACTGCGATTGCAGGTTCACATGGCGGTGGGCGGTGCGTCGGAGTCAGCTACGAGGCGGCAGTGAATGGGCAACGATTGGGCGGTGCATGTGGGCTTCACTGTAAAACAACATTACAGCAGCATGGCTTCCCTTACCTGTGAACAAGTACGATGGAAGGTTAACTTGGCGGTGGGCGATGCGTGGGAGTCGGCTGGGTGTCGGAAGTGAATGAGCAACGATTGAGCGGTGCATGTGGGCTTCACTGTATAACAACATGACAGCAGCATCGCTTTCCTTACCTGTGAACAACTGCGACTGCAGGTTAACATTGCGGTGGTGGATCCGTCAGAAATGCCTCAGTGGCGCAAGTGAATGGGCAGGCTATGGGCGGTGCATGTGGGCTTTACTGTAAAACACCATTGCACATAGATCGGATTTCTTACCTGTGAAAAGCTGTCATGGCAGGTTCATATGGCGTTGGCGAAGCGCCTGAGGTGGCTCCGTGTCCCACGTTTATGAGCACACCATCGGCGTTACAAGTGGGTTCAACTGCAGCACAAAATTAAACATGCATCCTAATTCTTACCTGCGATGACATATGACAGCGGGAAATTGAATAACATTTCTCCGTGTGTACGCGTTCCCGTGATAAACGACAACCATGAAGCAACAGAAGGAATAACTGTGAGGATGCTTCCAGGAAATTTTACGTCCTGTAAGCATGCATAACACACATTTATCTAAGTACCTACCGGTACGTGGGAACACATGCCCTGCCTTTGATTTCCGCTGCATACATGACAACCGAATTACGGTGCCCAAAGGACCGTCCGTAACGGAAATGCAAGGAGTAACTTACCGTTGCACAATGTCTCCTCCGTGCCGCAGATCTATCGGCGCATTGTTCCATTGAAATTAAAACGTGTTGATATCAAGGGGAAAAGTGAACACAGCATGCTGTAAGGGAAATGCACTCAGGGTAAGGGCACAGATAAGGTACATACCTGAGCCGTGTGGCATGCAACCGCAGTCAGGCACGTTACGGTTACACTAGGACGAGCAGGAGAAGCACAGAAATTCGTCCGCACCCGAATAGCACACGCAGGACGCGTGGTACCAGTGGGAGCACGCTTCGCACTGGACCCATTGCACCGAATCTCCATGGCCATCGGCATCGTCCTCCTGCTGACTTACTCCGCATAAATCCTCCGAAAGGAAGCCCTGATTTCCCCGTTTCTGTTTCACAGGAACCCGGTAGCCCGTGGATGTCCGAGTGCGAAGGTTACGGAATCGTTTGTCCCTTAGGGCACTCTTATGCGGGCTAACCTCTGTCACCCTGCACTTCAGGGGCGATTTTCGTTTCCTGGACACACCTGTGGATGTCGATGGAACAGGTGTTTCCTTTTCATGAGCACGCACCTCTTCATTCACCTGCGTACCTTGCGAAGGACCAACCGCTTCTCCTGTCGACGTGGAGCATACCGCAGAGGCTGAGCCACCATCAGACGTCCCCGCAGTAGGCAAGCCGCGTAAGATGCGCACGTTCTCCTCGGTATCCAAATGAAGGGGTACAGGCCACCTTGACGTACGTCCATACAACTGAAAAGTGGGGTCCTTCGACATCAGCAACGCAACCATTTTTAGGTAATTCAACGCACCAGAGAAGTTCTGCGATCCGTAGGTAACCAATTGAGCGCCAATGTCCCCTAATACATGCTGCGTCCTGCGAAGTTTCACCGTGCGGTTCACAACTGCATAGCCATCCACCGCGTTACGTTGCACAATCTGCACCCTCTCAGCTGACGCAACGGACTCCGATGACGTTGCTGAAGGTAGCCGGGGTGCGATCCAGCGACATCCATGGAGTATGTTCCGCGCAGCGTGAGTGTGACGCGCCGCCACATAACAAATGTGAGCACATGGCAGCCGCCACTGCCGATTAAACTCACAATCGCATTCACTGCCCCGCGTTATGTACACTCGACGCACTCTCGAACGAGGACAGGTAACCAACCAGTAAGGCCCATCAGCCCTACAACTGAGAACCGTCGACGTACGGAAATGCTCCATGAAAACATCGCCCGCAAAGTCGCTTAGTTTGGAGAATACGGAAGCCACTGAGGACACCTCAGATGGAACAGCAATTGCGCTCATGCACCGCCTACCTAGTATGCTGTTCCTTTGGTGCACCAGTGTGTTGACCCTATCAACCACGCAATTGAACAGGGTGAGTAGGGAGGACCTCTCCGACAGGTATTCCTTCAAATGTCTGTTTTCATTCTCTACCCTGTTCGTGGTGTGGCAACCAAAAAGAATAGTATCCCTGAGTCTGTGCGCCGCCCAAGCGTCCGCGTGGGGAATCCACGTCGCGCACAAATAACCGTACAATTCAGGAGATGCCCTGCCCACCGCGTTCAATATCCTTCCAAATACAGAGGCTTCACGAGTGTATATGAGGCTATGGAGCCAACCTCGTAATTGCATTCTACGCGGATCAGAGATCCCGCGTAAGCGGCCGCAACATCGTGACATATCCACTTTAACGTGGTAACGACAAAAAACCACCTTTGCGTTCGGATAAAATCGTCTGAACGCGCGTATCTGAGCGGCACATTTATCCATCACGACTGTGTGGCAACGTAAGGTGCTAGGCACCATATCCCGCATCGCCTCTACCGCTTGCCCATAGCTGTAGGATGTCTCATCCGGTAACAGGGCGTAGAAAAAGGAAATACCCAGACCGGTGACATCAACCAGCATGCAGTGCCACAAAATGTAGCCGCCATAATTCAGTTGATGGGTGGCATCGCATAACAGCACCTCACCATAACGATTTACAATGCCGCCAACTAACGATGGAGAGAAAAAAACATAACGTATTTGACTGCCATCCGACACCCACCGACACGCACCGTGACCTTGCAACATCGGTGCCACGTCTGACACTTCACAAGCATTCGCATTCCGATGACGAATGCGCAAATTATACAGGTCAAGACGAGTTACCCTTTTTCCGTACTCCAAGTAAATAAAACGACGCAAATCCGGGGTGCTATGGAAACTATCCATCAACCGCAGAACTTCCCTCTCTTGCTCCTGAGATAGGCGACGGTTCGCTGCATACAACCGTGGGTTGCCCAAGTGAAAACCATGACTATGCGTCATGACGTAACTTCCCACGACATATTTCCCATCTTTAAAAACCACGGAGAACCGAGCCTTGCAATCGTACGATTTGTTTCTACAGGCGTTAGTAGCCTTGATGCAAAGAAATTACACAACATACTGCTTGCCACGTGGTGCTGAACGTTTAGGATGAACGCAACGGTACATGATGTAACCGCAGCATTCCCCATCGGGAACCGGCTTCCTCCTTCCATGATGGTATGCCGCAGCAGACTTGGAAGATGCACGGGAAAAACAAGTCGCCGTCGCAATCTGAAAACGTTCCAACCGCTTCACAAGGTCTCCAGCACTTTCATACTTCCCAATAACCATAGACCTGAACAGCTCACTATCATCGACAACCATGGCCATAGCAGGGAGAACAAGTATGGCGACCGAAAAAACAAAACAAACACTCGCACATGTACCAATACAGGGTATCATTTCTACAGCATCGTTACTCAAATACGATGTCATTTCCCAAGCCATTTGAAACCTAGTTTACCATTTTTACACATTCATCCACCTTGGCAACGTCGCTACGCAACCGTTGCTATGTACAATTTGTACCACCGGACGTACAGAAACCACACAAGTTTATCCGACCTCCTATCACACAGTTCCATTTTCGCTATTGCTGTTAAGATTTTCGAAAATTGCGTATAACCATTTTGTCGGTCGTTTTGTGTTACTAATCAGTAGCACAATATATTCTATAGTACCTCCCCCATCGCTTTTGCAACTATCCGTCGTTTTCCGTTTCTTACCCAATTTTACGGTTTTCACGTTGTCTATTACTTTGTCATTCTTTGACTCAGTAGGTAACGATCCTCTACATACCTTCCGCAGCGTGTCCTGGGTTGTTCTTAGGTCTGAAGAAACAAATACACCCAAATCCTTCTCACCAACCACATTCTTCAATGAAAACCGATGTGGTAAGCACCGAAAGGTTCCTGATCACCGATCGGGAGAACACAGCACTTAATACGATTGATAGGCATTTGCCACTTGACCGACCAATCGTGCAGCAGATCGAGCGTCAGCTGCAACCTGTCAGCATCTTCAAGCCTGGATACTTCCGACCTAAGTTTAAGATCATCAGCATAGATCAAGCAGTCTATTTGGAGCACCTCCGGGAGATCGTTGATAAAGATTTTGAATAGTTCGGGACCAAGTACGGAGCCTTGTGGAACCCTACTGGTCATAAGAACAGGACCAAAGTCAACTTCGTTAACCCTCACCTTCATACTACGGTTATCTAGGAAATACGCGATCCATGCGAGCAATTTACCAGCCATGCCAATCTGCCGAAGTTTGATAAGAAGTCGCTTGTGTAGAACCCTATCAAACGCCTTGCTAAAATCCACAAAAACTACGTCAAGGCGATGACCAGCATCCACTGACTGCGCCCATTTTTCTCGGGCAACAAGCAGATTGGTAATGCAAGAGCGTGCCCTCCGAAATCCGTGTTGAGCAGGAGAGATGACGTCCAATTTCTCAAGGTGAAGGTGCAAGGCCTGTTTCAAAATCCTTTCCGTGGTTTTACGGAGGATTGATGACAGGCAAATCGGTCGGTAGTTCACAGGATCTTGGCGATTCCCACCTTTGTACATCGGTTTCACAACATTTGCTTTCCATTTAGTTGGGAGACGACCTGCTTCAAGTGAGCTACGAAATACTTGACAAATTGGTGCAGCAATGAACTCCGCCACCTCTTTGAGGAACAGGGGATGTAAGCCATCGGGACCCAGTGAAGAATTCGAGTTCAAGTCAAGAAGTAGTTCCAATACTCTGTCAGTGGTAATTTCAACATGCTCTAATGGAGAGGAGTGACAGGGAGTGTCCTCAACAACTAATGTCGCCTCCGTCGTATACACAGAAGAATATTGCGAAGCTAGTAGACAAGCTTTCGCCATGTCATCATGAAGCACGGTGTCCTCTTTGCTTGAATACAGTGCGGGTATACCGTTGCCAGCTTTGGTGCTTCTTTTTAAGTATGCGAAAAGCTTTTTCGGATTAAGCACAGATTGCTCGGCCAGATGCTGCTCATATAGTTCTCGCTTCTCACGCTTTCTCAGGGTACATAAATTTCTAGCCTCTTTGTAATGCGCGTAATCTTGTGCCGTCTGAGTGAACTTGAACCGGCCCCAAAGTTTCCGCCTTCTCATCATGGGCGATTTGATTTCCCGATCTATCCATGGGGGCCCTTTGGAGAAAAATTGTTTTCTAACCCTTGGAACAACCCGGTCAATGATAAACATCATCTTGGAGCACAAAAGGTCCCAAGCAGCATCGAGATCCAACTGATGAGGGATGTTCCAGTCCATGAGGCCGGCAGCCAATTTTAAGCGGAGGGGGTCAGTTCGCCAGAAGTTTCGGCGGTGCGCTCCTTGGACATTGATAGCTAACTGTCGTGTCCAGAAAAAGGAGACTACACAGTGATCGCTTTTCCAAAGAGGCTGAAGAATGGCTAGAGTGGAAGCATCTGATGAGCTTGGTGTGAGAACAAGATCAAGGATGTGTGGCACATGGCCTGGAAAAAAACGGGTAGGGGATAAAACGTGTTGCGTTAGGTTACATTCGAGGACTATTTCTAATAAACGCGTATCAAAAGAGTCTGGAGATAAATTACAATGAAGCGCATCCCAGTCTACGGCCGGAGCATTGAAGTCACCCACAATCAAACAATCTTTGCCTCCCCTGTGTATCCTCATAGAGTCTATCAGGTGGGATCCTGACCCCAAAGGGGATCTGTAGATAACGCCGACTATGAGCGGTCGGAACCCATCGTGAACCCTAATCCAAAGAATTTCCGATCCTCCATCGAGATCACACATGGCTTCCACTGTGTGAACTTTAAGGTCTAACTTCCAGTAAAGTGCGACACCGCCCCCGGATCTCCATCCTAGACGATCCGCACGGGATAGTTGATACCCTGGAATAAATACCTCTGAGTCCGAAATATCCGAGGATAGCCAAGTCTCCGTAAAAGCCATCAGATCGGGTTCTTGCTCCGAGGTCATGAGCAGTATCTCATCCAATTTGTTTCTCAAACTACGCACGTTCGCCGATATCACACGCAATCCACTCCTGATTCCTAGTGCACCGGGAGAACGAAAGTTGGTCTCCACCGAGTCCTCGGGATTCTTTTCACTACTCGAAAATCCACAATGTGAAGCTCGCTTTCACCAGCTGCTCGTCGGATTCGTAGTTCATCAACGGCCTGCTTCATTTTAACTCGATCCTCTGGGGAGAATTCTCTCAAAACATAGAACGTTTCTCCTTTTCAACATGAGGTTCGCTGGAGTATACGGCGGCATTCTTCTTCATCCTGACAGACCACCTTTAGGGGGCGAACTTTCGAGGCGTCATCCTGCTTTCTTCCGAGGCGAAAAGCGGAAACGAAGTTTATGCCCTTTTCCCCAGCATCGAACAGTAACGAAACCATCCGCCTCAGAAACGTTCCCTCTCGGGAAATCGGCATTTTCATTTTGATGCGGCTTTTGCAGGTAAGGCTTTGCCTTGATCATATTCTCCAATTGATTCACTTTATCGATAACATGTTTTAATTGTGGCTGAGAAGAGTTCGAATTAGACCTAGACTTTGCAGCCTTCTTCGTCTTCCGAGTATTTAGCGGAGTCTCTGGGATCATGGGTACCGGAGTTACGTTGCTACCTGCTACCACTTCATAAGTCCTTTTCTTGCGTTCTTGAACTGCTGGACAATGGACGATGGTTCTGGGGATGAATTCGAAAAAACAAGAGTTTGCTTTGGAGGGGATGTGTCCGGGACAGCAGCAGATGAAGGCAAAATAGGGGGCAGCGGTTCATCCTTTTTCTTTTGCACAGAATGGAGGCATGAAGGACATGGACTGATTGGGGGTAGACCATCCGAAATTCGCCTGACACTCAGCCCAGTCCGACAAGGGTCACAAATAAAGATGGCGACTGAGGAAATGGTCCTTGGCAATGAATCGTATAGATCTGGACCGATGTTACAACATGCAATGTGAAGCCACCCTTCGTCGAAGTAACATTGAACGGCCTTCGAGCGAGAAGTGACAGCCTTACAACAACCCAAGCATATTGAGGACATTGTATCCCTTATTCAGTAAATTCGGAACGGATCTCTTTTTAAACGCCAGAAAATGCCAGTTACTGACTTCCCTAAATAAAGGGATTACAGTGCTGTCTGTAGGGTCTCTAGAGCTGCGACATGCGGTTGAAGCACAAGACTTGGTAAGTTTGTGGCGAATAACTTCAAACCTAGAGCACAATGTATACACGATGCCAACAAAGCGCGGAATGAGCTATTTCGCCTTAAAATATATTTATGCAGCACTAGAGCTGAGGTTTTTCTTCCCTTATACAAAGCGGGGGTAAGATCTCATCTAGAATACTGTGTACAGGCTTGGGCACCGTCCTGTGAGTTCTGCGCGGTAACTCGACTTTTTGGCGTGCCATACTGATCGAGCTTTTCAGCTACAATATTGTGGAAAACAATGTTTGAATAAACACTTGCAACGGAATTTGCCTATTGTCAAATTTCCTCTGATCCAAGCTATCTTGGATCGATTAAAGCGGTTCTTCTCAAAGCGTCTTTGGCCCTTACTGGTAATTTTTCCGGTTTTTCCCAGTTTTAATCCCGTTTTGCACCCAGTTTTCCCTTTTTTGAGGTCGTTTAACTGTTGTGTACGTGTTATAACTCCACTCTGTTTTTCACTATGTTGGTCTCACAATGCACCGAGGCTGTTGTTCCTGCTGGCTTGGATTCTGAGGTTATTGCACTTTGTGGCAGTCCAAGCTGCAGTATAGCAGTAACTGACGATTCCGGCGGTATGCAGTGCGATGTCTGCAACCAATGGTGCCATCAGCTTTGTACGAACCTGAATACTGAGCAGTACGCAGCGCTGGCCTCCAGAGAAAAGTTGCTTTTCAATTGTGCCAATTGCTGCAGCCGCCGGCAAGGCCGCGCGGCCTTTCGTACGAGAGACTAATCTCTTGATACCCGGCTGCGAAATGTAGAGCGTTCGTTCTCGCTGCTCTCAGACCTTCGCTTTAAGATTGATCTGCTCATGAAGACGCTTCCGGTCTTCAACAACGCAGATTTGATCGCCTACACTGATGGTCAAGTGGCACCAATCATTGTCACCCGGCCAGATGGCTACCGACCACAAAAATGAAGCAGCTTCGGACGTCGTATCTAAAGCTACCCTGATCGACCCTGAGTTGCTAGTTCAATGGTCCCTTCGAGTGAAGCGAAAGAGAGCCAGGAAACCCCGTAAGCTTTCTGCTAAGCAAGAAGTTATAGTTGTCTCGGCACCGGAAACAAGCCAAGTGTCGTTACTTGGCAAACCGTCTGACGGTTGTGCGAAGGCGAAGATTTCAACACGCACTACTTGTCAGCCGAAGTTGCCGGCAATCTCGGTTCTCACCGAGAAGGCATGTTCTGAAGGTTTGCTTGCTTTTGCTCAAAGCGAAATAGCCTCACGGGACCCTGCTCCCGTTATCAAGAAGAAAAAGCAGACCAAATCTGCCATAGAGCCTTTCGGTGGAATCGATGACCCTAACAAAAGTAAGACATCGACAATGGAGCGAAAAACACGCTGCCGTTGCTACCTCATCGGAGGGGCTAAAGACAGTCCCATCACCAGTGGTGAAGCCACCTGCTCCAAGTATCGAATCAAAGACCCGTGGGGTTAATACACCCCGTCGTGGCGATTCTTTCACGGATAGTAGCGTTATATTCCGTAACGCGGCTGAGTCTACTGCTGTCCTTCCTGCTGATCGCATGTTGGACGACCTTCAATGGTTTAAAATGTGCGTAACGAAGCTTCTTCCGCCTGGTTTTCCAGGCGTTACTGTCAGGAAGCTGATTAGACTGGGGAACGTCCCAGTTAACGTACCAAACCCTCGACCGCGGCTACTTCGTGTGGTACTCTCTACCCCGGAGGAACGCAGCGCTCTCATGCGGTTTGCGTTTAAGCTGAAAGGTACAAATATTAGCGTTCAGCCGGACCTTCCGCTGGCCGATAGGCTGAAGCTAAGGGAGGCCATCAAGGACCTCAAAAGTAGGCGAGCGGCCGGTGAACAGGGTCTCCGGTTAGTGGGTTTTTTAGGTGGTCAGATGGCGGTGCTTTTTCGCCCTACCACTACCAATTCTGCTAGCGCACGACTCAGGTCTGGATCTAACGAATACCTTCAGATAGTGTTAAGTAATGTGCGCAGCCTAAGGAATAAGGTGTACGAGTTAGGTCTGCTTGTAGATGGGTGTAATCCAGATATACTCGCATTCACTGCAACGTGGCTGTCTGAAGACATGGGTGGTGAAGTACATCTACCTGGCTACGCACTATTTAGATGCGATCGCTCTGCTGGCCGACAGGGAGGGGGCGTCACTCTTTATGTGAGCTGTAGACTTGACGTTTTGAAGACTTGCTTATTTCAGTCAGCAAACAAAACTGTTGAAGCTCTGTCGGCTGTTATTAGCACATCCTCCGCTCAAGTTACAGTTGTAATTGTGTATAGAAGCCCCGGGAGCGTATCCAAAGAGGTACTTAAATTCATTCGCTCCCAGTCCGCAAATAAATGTTTGGTGATGGGCGACTTCAACGTCCCAGAGATTTGCTGGGCAGATCTCTCTTGCGACTCAGCGTCAGGCACATTCGGCTCCGGTCTGCTTGAGCTTACGCTCCAAGTATCTTTGCACCAGTTCATTGGCCTCCCCACTAGGTACATGGACGCCCAAGTACCGTCTATCTTAGACCTTGTGTTTGCTAAGTCACTCGATTTTGTTGGTGACATTACTTACGGACCTCAACTGGGTTCCAGTGATCGTGTTTGTTTGCTCTTCCGTTGTACTCTGTCTAGACGCTACCAGATCCGCGTAGGGGTGGGCGTCTTCGCGTCATAATCAGCCCGCGCGCGACTGGTGGTGGTCGCGCTGCAGCGAAGCGCCGTTACGGCGTACAGCTGACACATTATTATTATTTATTTTTAGACGCTACCAGAGTACTGTTGAATCTCGCCCGAACATATGGCACGCAGACTATCAATCCATGAGGGCCAAGGCTTCGGGTTTACATTGTGAGATCTCAGACGACGATACTGTCGAGGTTGCCTGGGATAAATTTAAGTCCTACCTCACAGAGGTCTCTGCTCCCTTCATCCCAGTAACAAGGAGAAAGGAGGCACGAGCACAGCCGCCCTGGATAGATCCCACTGGCAGGCATCTGCAAGCAGGGCGGATAAGCGAAAACATGCTACTGCTGACGCCTCCCTTCTTTTCCACCTTTTTCTCTTACTCCCATCCCGACCCCCATTCCTAATCTTCCTTCTATAATTCCCAGCTTAATTGACAGCAACCGAAATGCCACTGGAGTAGAACCATCTGCAGCCACCATCCCACCACACCTATCGGACGCCTATCGGCAAAAGTCCCTTATAAGGCCACGCTATCCCGTTTCCATGGCGACATTCAATGTTCGCACTCTAAGACAAACAGGTCAACAGGCTGCACTCGCACGCACCTTGGACACACTGGGTATTGATGTGTGTTGTGTGTCCGAAACTAGGATCAATGACCCTAACGGGGTTATTGAATTGACTGCACCTGGCTTATCCTCTCGTTATTGGTTGCACGCATCCGGAGACGCCGATGCAGCACTCACGGGTCAAGCTGGTGTAGGTATCATTCTAAGCTCCAAGGCTGAGCCATCGTTGGTTGATTGGATTCCAGTGAACAGCCGTTTATGTGCAGCCCGTTTGACGACATCAGCTAAGGTTGATTCACGAAGTAGTACAAAACGCTGTTTGTTTGTGATTTCCGCTTATGCTCCCACCGACTGCAGTTCAAATGCTGTCAAGGACACATTCTATCACGAACTGAATGCGCTATTACGCAGTGCTACTAGTTCAGATATTATAGTACTTGCAGGGATATGAACGCACAAGTAGGGCGTCTGAGCTCTTCAGAAGCTCAGCTAGGTGGTAAATGTGGGCTTAACTCCGAACGGACTGACAA